GTCAGCTCATGAAGCTTTTGCTGTTTAGCTCACTTAGCATGCATGCTTTGTGGGAACCCTACATTAAATTGGTGGAGTAGGATTAATTTTTCCTTTTTCAAGAATCATACACATGTGTTTTGCTTGACATGCTCCAATCCTTTGTGCCATTATCAAATTGGTTCCTCTCCCTCTCTCTCTCTCTAACTAACTTGAGTCTATAACATGCATGTTAATCCATTGCCAGGGTCTATGTAAATATTTACGCTTTGCATGAGATTTCTGATAGCGCTGGCCCTTGTGACATTGTGTACACGGTCACATGTCACTGGAGGCTAGAGAAACTCCATCGCAGTATTGTAAGAGTGACGCTGGGGTTTTGCTAAGTCAAGAAGGATTGATAAAACTAGGTAGTAACTGAAGGATTGTGCTAAGATGAATAGTGATCCGTCGTGGGATTCATGCCTAGGGAAATGTATCAACTATCAACCAAACCCTGGGTTTGTGTTGCTTTAAAATATTCTCAAAAGTAAGAGAGAGAGAGAGAGAGAAGGAAGTTTGTGGCTTGTTTGTTGCTGATTCCAATAGAGTCTACAATACATGTACATTTCCTGCCATGCTACTTCCTGTAGGTGGGTATAGCTCAAATGTGACATCACAAGAGTCTTTATAGGTGAAATTGACCCTTTACTCTTGTACCTAATAATGCAATAGCACTAATATAAAGAATGGGATCCTTATTCTCAGTATGGCAATACAAGAAAAACTCAAAATACCGCTTATACACACTGTACATGTACATGCACATGTAGGTGAATCCTTATGTTTGCTATTTTGAGTATTTAATTCATAGGCGTATTTGGACCCGGGCAAGCACAGGCTTTTCCTGGGTAGAAATTTGCAGCCATAATTATATTCATTAGTTATTGTATTATACACAGTATTGTAACAGTGAGAGGACTGTTAACCACAATAGTTAGCACTGTTAACCACAATAGTTAGCACTGTTAACCACAATAGTTAGCACTGTTAACCACAATAGTTAGCACTGTTAACCACAATAATTTAGCACACACCTACATGTTACAAGTGTTTATTCAAGCACCAGGGCAGTTATAGGTCTAAAATTTAAAATGCATTTGCCCAAATTGCCCCAATCAATAGTTAAAGGTATAATTAATTACTTAGATATATGAATAATTAATTAATTATATGAATAATTAATTAAGTGCCCTAGTAGCTGGAGAAGGCTAGATACGCCTATGATTTAATTATACATGGTCGTTATTCTTTATAAGGAAATTGTGTTGTTATTGTACATCAAACTTCCTTTAGTCATGATTCATGAATATATTTAAGATATCACACCACTTTTTGTACTTTGACTCTTCGTTCTCCTTCTTCATTTTCCTTCTTCATTTTGTTGTTCCTATTACTCTTTACTACCTTCATTTGCTCTTCAAAATGGCAACCAATTGGTCTTCATCTTCTGGTCTCCTCAAACTGGAGGAACAGCTCACCTGTCTTGTGTGCCATGACCACTATACCAACCCTAAGACTTTACCTTGTCTACATTCATTCTATGAGCACTGTCTGGAGGGATTACCTCTGGATAAGAAGAATGAGACCTATTACCTCTCTTGTCCCACTTGTTGTCATTGTACGGAGTTACCAGAAGAAGGTTCAAGAGCCTTTCCTGTAGCATTCCACCTCATCAACCTTAAAGATATATACAGTGTAATCAAGAAAGTAGCTGATCCTCAACAGGTCACCTGTGACAAC